ACACACACACACACATACACTTGCTGGATTCACAAAGACTTGTAAACACAAAACACTGGACTCCTGAAGGTGCATTCAGACCAAAGTGATTTCTTTGCCTTGCAGCTTAGGAATGAGTGCAGCTGTGCGCTCAAGTTAAAACATGCTCACCTGTATTATTGAGTTGCCATTATGCCACTGACTACATGTGCAATTGCGCCACCACTAAAATCCGATTTCCGCTTGGTCTGAACACACCTTTAGATGTGTAATTACAACATCCAGGCATCTACACACACAAGCAATGCAGTATTTGAACACACAGACTAACTACCGGTTGCATAGTCCCCCAGTGGATGACACAACAACTGTGTTGGGACATAGTCCTGTTTTGAAACATGGTCGTGCATACAGTATTGTATAACTTCTCTAAAATTAGTCATAGCTGTTTAGCAGTCAACTGAACAGTGAGTACTGTGTTTGACTGTGTAACACATTGTGACAACACCAGGAATTGAACCCTCTGGCTACAGTGGTTGGGAAAATTCCTACATTCATGAGCCATTTTCACAGTTTCAATGGCCACAGAAGTTTATGAGACGATTCATTGAATCTCAAAATATTTGCTCTCTTGCAGATTCTCCGAAGGGGGAGAGCTCGTCTTTAGATGAAGACAGCAGTGATGCTCTGTCACCAGACCAGCTAACCAATCACGACTCTCCTCTGAGTGCCGTCCCCCAGCTGTCCCCCTCTGACGCACTCACCCAGAACGGGGACATGTCCCCCCCACAGGTACTGTCGCAGGATGTAATTTAAATCAAAACATTCATAGTCAAGAGACTTGAACTTATTCAATAAACCAAGATTCAAATGAGATAAATTTACCATGCAACAAAGCAAGTGATGATAAAAGTGATCACACTATTAACCAGAGAATTATCTTCACAGTTCATTACACAGTCCCCTCCTCCACCTCCTCCACCACCTCCACTCCAGGTGAATGGGTCAGACATCTCCCCATTCCCAAAAGTGACAAATGGGACAATGGTGACCTCGGCAAACTCCCGCCCCTCTACTGGACAGGTCAAGGTAAGGGAATGCTGGTCATTTTCTTCTCTTCCCACCAACACCCTTTTTTTAAGTTGAACATCCTGCAGATTTGATGACTTGTGAATAAATCTGACCTTAATCTCTATTTGTGGAGCAGCTATAACTGGCTAACCCTCCCTCGTCTCTTCGTTTCTTTACTTCCTCCTCCCCGACCCCATTTCTCACGGTTTCTGTCAGCAGTCTCAGGCTAAGACGAGTTCAGACCGTCCTCCACAGAGACCTAAGAAACCAAAGGACAGCAAACCCAAGGTCAGCAAGCTTTTTCTTTCGTTTTCATTTTAACAGGCGCTGACACAGGATTTACGGGTCTGATTGGATTCAAAGAATATTCATCCACAATACACAATAAAAACAAATCTGGGAAGTTGTCAGTACTTATTTTTAGGCTGCTATGTGACTTTTAAGAATTAAGATTGCATCAATCAGATTAAGGAAGGGCCTGGGGTTCGTCATCCACCTAGTTCATCAAGTTGCTCTTTGTGGTTTTGGTGTCAGTTCCCTCAGACTTTGAGACCCAAGGCTTCTCTATAGATATAGTGTTTTGACATTTAACAATCATACAGGGTGAAATACACCGTAGAAGAGGAAGAGATACATTTTTTTGCAACCACAGTATCCTTAATACACGGAATACACCCTTGCATTTTCTGAACCTGGAAATACTTCAGCTGTAGTTATGTTTTTACTGTCGACCTTTCCACATACGTGTACTGAATGCACATACACTTTGTTCTCTAAATGTCCAGAAAGTTTTTTGAGAGAAATCTGTAACTTATGTGCACCAAGACAAGATGTTCACACTGCAAGCCGTAGCGCTCAATTCTGATTTATGGCTCAGATCCGATTTTTTTTGTTTGGCTGTTTACATTTTTTTCAAATGTATTCGATAACAGATTACAGTGTGAACAGGTCACAGTCCTGAACTGACTGCCATGGTGAATGTCGATCTAGAGAAACATAAAAGTCACATGAATTCTGATATGACACTGAGGTCACATTACAAAAATCTGATCTGATTTAGAACAACATATGAAAATGGCCCAAATCAGGATTGAAAAGGTCAAATTCCATGTAAGTCATATATGGGCAAAAAAAAAAAAAAAAGATTTGTGTCACTTGTGCTTGCAGTCTGAACGTAGCCCAACAGTGTAAAGGAACTAAAGAGTTGTCTCCTGGGTGTAGGTAAAGAAGCTGAAGTACCACCAGTACATCCCTCCAGACCAGAAGGCAGACAAAGAGCGTCCACCCCAGATGGACTCGTCCTATGCGAAGCTCCTCCATCAGCAGCAGCTTTTTCTGCAGCTGCAGATCCTCAACCAGCAACAGCAGCACTACAACTACCATACCATCCTGCCCGCCCCTCCCAAGTGAGTGTCAAGCATGACAGAGGGTGTGTGTGTGTGGAAGTGAGGATGACTGACTGCAGTGGTTTTATGCAGTCAACAGTCAACTTGTTTCCCACCCTCCTTTTTCTACCTCATGTTAAACCAGTAGTTAACCCATAGTTCATTTCTACAGCAGAGCCTACAGGCAGCATTCATTGTGTCTTTCTGTCTTGTTCCAACCTTTTCTGCTGTGGTTTGTTCCTTTCACATTAGTGGTTTTTGGGTGAGTTTATAGAGCCTGGAGCATAAAGCAGAAGTAGTGTTTGAAAAAGGCAGGCAATCCCAACATAGCTTGTGTGGCTTGACAATACAAATGTGCAATTTATGGAATATGCTTACTTTTCAAATATTAGATTATTGATGCAATAAAACTTAAAATATCACACTTTACTGTTTTCTACCTCCCCTCAGGCCACCAAGTGAGCAGTCTCCCACAACCAACTCTGGCCCTTCCCCTTCCCGCAGTGTTCCCGCAACTACCACCCCCACCCCCTCCAATCAGAGTGGGACTGCCCGTCAGAGCCAAACTGCAGTGGGAGGAGCCAAACCAAGCACTCTGCCAGCCAACCTGGATGAGTTCAAAGTAGGTTAAATAGACCACTTTGTCCGGTGACAGAAATGTACCTGCCAAGAATATTTTTAACTAAATATGTTTTTATAGTACTTGTTTAACTGCCATTTATGTAAGGAGATCAGGAAGAGTGTGTTAAAACTTTATTGCTGACTAATCCGGTCTGTAAATAAGTACTTTAAACTTACAAGTTTTTTGATGCATGAAGTAAGTTTGTCAACAGGTTAACAGACACACTGTCTGAAAATTAAATATATTTTCTACCATCATCAAAAATTATTATTTATATTTATTTATTATTATATACAAAATACTTATTTACTAGTAATGTCAGGCCTTGCTGTCCCTTCATACCTATATACCCTCCAAAAGTCCCCAAAAAAACCAGTGGATACTAACTGTTAGCTTTGACCTAAGAGCTCAGATTGTATTGATATGATGATTGATAGATATTTGTAGAGGTCAAAGTGTCAAAATATTAGAGTAAAAAGAGAAAAAACAATCATAATGTTATGTAATTGTTCTTTCTGATACCTCTAAACATGTTGTGACCCACTCAGATTAATGGTGAGACCTTTGGGGAGTCCCAGCCACAGGTCGTGAACCACTGAGCTAAATTATGTTCCACTGAACTGTGTTTCTTTGTATCTTACATATCAGGTATTGTGTTCACTTGCACTCTGAGTCACTGCCTTCTAAGTAAGAGTGCTGTTCTGTTTTCTCCTCTCCCAGGTCGCTGAATTGAAACAGGAACTGAAATTGCGTGGTCTGACCGTCTCAGGCACAAAGAATGATCTCATTGAGAGGCTCCGCAACTACCAGGAGCAAAATGGCGGCACCGCAGCGGTTCTGAAAAACGGCTTATCGCAGCCCAGTCAGCAGGGTATGACCTCAGCTGCCAACACCGTCACATCCTCTCCAACCACAACTACCATCCATGACCACCAGTCACGAGAGGGTGGGTTTAGGTTAGCTTTGTCATCGTTGGCTCAGGTGGTTCCAGGGCGGGTCATGCGATTTGGCAGCACCAGCTCCAGCCCTCCGGTCTCCCCTAGTCCATCTGAGAGGTCGTTGGCCGGGATGAGTCCAGATGAGACGAGCTGTAACGGAGACATGTTTGGAGAGATGGTGAGATCTATAAGGGAAGCATATATTCTTCAGTTATTGTGTTTTTGTTAAAGATGCTGGCAAATAATTAAACATTTCCTTTAAACCTTCTCCTTACATTCTTCTCTCTTTGTTGTCCTTCAGGTGAGCTCCCCCCTGACCCAACTCACCCTGCACCCGTCTCCTCAGCACCCATCAAATGTCTCTCCGCTCTCCAAGGTCAAAGAGGAGAACCAGAGCTCATGCTGCCTCTCTAGGCCTTCACCCTCGTCATGTCAGCCTCCAGATCCACTGTCTGGAGTAGCCATGGACACCATGGACAAGGACCAGATGCTCCAGGAGAAAGACAAACAGATCGAGGAGTTGACCAGGATGCTGAGGCAGAAGCAGAGGCTGGTGGAGACCCTCAGGTCCCAGCTGGAGCAGGGCAAAATGGCAGGTGGGATAATGTTGGAGAAGGAAGGAAGCGAGAAGAACAGAACATCCCCAGAGGTTAAACTTCCAACTCTCATAAAAGCCTCTGCCATTCAGCCTCCCACTCTCCCTAACGGCATCGTGGTGAAGGTTAAGAAGGAGGTGGAGCCCGAGGAGGGGATGGAGGGAGTAACGGAGGAGGCTCAGGCAAAGAAACCGGCCCAGCCGATGCAGTGCTCGCAGGAGACTCTGCTCAGGCTCCAGCACATTCAACGGCTGCAGGTCCAACAAGCTGAACAGCAGAAACAGACACTGCAGCACAGTCAGGTGCAACTGCAGAAAGTGGTGGAGGCTAAGTCGAACCCTCAAAAAGTACAACAGCAGAAGAAAGAAGCCCAAATCCTGCTCCACCAGCAGCATCAACTGCAGCAGCTCATCATACAGCAAACCCAACAGAAACAGGCCCAGCAGAAGTTAGCACAGCAGAAACTCGCCCAACAGAGACTCAGTCAACAGAAGCTAGTGCAGCAGAATCAGCTCAAACAAACTCAAGGGCAAGTTCAACAGAGCCAGCAGAAGAACCCTGTTCAGCTGAAGCAGGTTCAGGTGCAGATCCAGAAGCCTGCAGTGACCCAAACCCAGCAGAGGAAGCAGCTGAAGGCTCAGCAGAGGCAGCAGCAGAAACGGCAGACAGCAGCTGTCACCACACAGCAGGTAACGTCCCAGCAGCTCCACATAATGAAACATACTTGAAATGTAAAGGTGGGAATTTCACCACATTGACACCAACATGGTCAACTCTCTGAATGTGGAAGAAGTCTTATTGTCAGTGAAACAGAAACATACTCTTTGGTTTCCAGGCGGCTCCGGTCCTCATCAACCAACAGAACGGCACTCCGATCCACACTCAGGCCATTTCATTAGACCTCCTCAAGGCAAATGGCACGCCGACACTGGTCACCGACAGCAACGGCAACCACTACCTGATCGCCCTCACCAGTAACGCCACAGACGGACAGAACGGAGTGTCCTCATTGGCCAAAACCAACGGACGCATCACGCTGCAGGTACAGTAGCTTGTTCTTTGGTGGGTTGCGCTGGGTTAATAATACGCAATGAAATATTTATCTCTGCTTGTTGTCTTCTTTTAGAGATTGCAGTCGACTCCAAGTAAACTTCCCAGCACTGACAGCCAATCAAAAGAGCAGCCAGAGGCAGAGCCTGAGAGCCAACAAATCAAAAAGGTACAACCAAGGCTCAGTTTATGTCAGTATGACACATGCTTTTAAGTTTATTTATTTATTTCTTTGTTTTAAAGACAAGTATGAACTATGATGTACATCATACTACAGAGCAGCAGGACAGTCTGCATCTTACAAGCAGTAACATCTACCTGCCACAAGGTGTCGCCACTAACACATGAAAACTGCAGCCTGTTATTCAGAAATAAGAGTTAACTTGCCAATCATAATTGATAATTCAGCATATTGATGTCCGATGTCCACTCTCTTCACTCAGGGACAGAAGGCGGGGCTGCACCTGGACACCAATGGCGTGCCACAAACCAGCCAATCAGTCACCGCTCCGCCCAACCTGCAGCCTTTCTTTGACGACATGTCAGACAGTGAAAGCCAAAGCACCTTCACATCTCTCAAGGTAACGCCGACCTCCTCCTCCACTCAGCTCCCTCTTCATCTCGTCATCTCTACTTCTCAGGCTTCTCCACATGTTGGAAACTTCATTAACTTTTGCTCCTTGTTTCTTCTCTTTTCTTTTCATTCCATCACTCCATTCGGGCAGAGAGAGGAGGTGTGTCCACCTTACGACCGGCACACACTGTTCACCCCTCCCTCTCCCAAACCCATCACCTCCCTTCCTACTCAGCGCTCCAAAGTATGTCCTCTAGCACGTCTTTCTTTCCATCTCTTCTTCAGTGTCCTTTTTCTGTCCGTTCCTCCATTTTCCATCTCAGCTTCTCACGCTGAGCTGTGTGCTCATTTTACTGAGTGTAGAAGGCAGTTGGAACACTTTGGGCGAAGCAGTTGCAGTGGTGTTAGGTTGGATTTTCCGTGTGATAGTGCTTGACTGTGAATATCTATTTGTGTCTCTCTTCTGTACTTTGACTGTAAGCATTATGGTAAATGTTTCTATATTCATCAGATAGTTGTTATAAACTTGTTGCATTTAGATGTGAAAAGGTCACTGGAGGTCAGTCAAGTGTTTCCAGTCAAGTGAAAGTGAGAATCACAAACCACTACACGTTGTATTTTGGTCTGTTAAGACTACATATATCAATCCTACTCCTGTAGCTTCCAAGTGACTGATACCAAAACCTGTCTTTATTTGCATATAGTCTATACAACGGCATGAAACCAGACAACAAAACTAAAAGTGCCACATCCTTGTTGTGCATTACCTGCACACTTATGTAGCATGAGCGCCACGTTAGCAGAGCAGCAGCAGCTCCAGTGCTCTGTCTACAAAGGATGCGTACAGGCTCTGTATTAAGAGGTCACAATCATTTTGGTTCAATTTTCTCAATTTTGTGTTGATTCTGGCAGCCCCTTTGGAAAAAAGCCCCCTTCCTCCCTCTCTACCTCCCTCCCTCGTTTCTGGAGGGAATCTGATCAAATCCAACCCAGTGGCAGGCATTAAGAATAACTATATATAAATAGCAAATCTTATCGCTGATGGTCTTGTTTGTTTTTGTAGGTCATATAGAGGCATCAGTATTCAATTGTAGTACATTTAAGCTTTTAAAACGGAAGAAAATAAACTTTGGAAAATACGCTTTGGGGTTTGGAAATCACTGCTGTAGAAATATAAAAACCTCTGCACGCTGCATGTACATTTAGCTGTAATATTTCCGTCGTTTAGGTCTGGCCAGTTATCTACAGAGATAAGACATGCTAACCAAAGAGCAGACAGTGCAGTGCTTTCAGTTGGAGTGTGTGTTGCAGTGCAGTTTGTCTGTTGTGGAGAAGTCGGTGGAGCTGTGTGTTTACTGTGTGTGCTTGGTGGCTGACTGATAACATCTTCTCTGTCAGCAGGAGAACGGCATGAACAGTCAGCAGATGGACGACCTGTTTGACATCCTGCTCAAGAGTGGAGGTAATGAACTGTTACACACATTAATGAGAGACATCGTGAGCCTGTTGTCTCCCGCACTGATGACATTTTTCTCTGTCCGTCCTCCTTCAGAAATCCCCGGCTTCAAGGCCAACCCCGACCCTTCCCTCGCCCCTCTCCACTCCAACCCGCCCTCCCCATCTTCTCCCCCGTCTCCCCTCCACCTCTCCCCTTCCACCCCTACGGAGCCCCTCATCTCCCCTCCGCCTTCCGTGGGAGAGTCCTGCACAAGCAGCGGCCGTCTGGAAGACTTTCTTGAGAGCACCACAGGCGCCCCGCTGCTGGGCGTGGAGCCCGACGGCGGCCTGACGCTGATCGACGACCTTCACAGCCAAATGCTGAGCACGCCCAGCATCCTGGACCACCCTCCCTCCCCCATGGACACGTCTGACCTGGGCTTCTCCCCGCACTCTACGGGGCTGGACTTTGGCGACCCCACTCTGGACAGCATGGACTGGCTGGATATCTCCATGGTGGGGAGCACCCTCGGAGGGAGCGGGGGCAGCGGAGGGGGGAGAGGAGAAGAAGGACGAGGAGGAGTGGGAGCTGGCGACGGGGGCACGAGCCTGGCCCCGCTGGCGCCACACACTCCGCCGAGCGTCTTCTCGACCGATTTTCTGGACAGCACGGACCTGCAGCTGCACTGGGAGTCGTGCCTGTAGCCCCCGCACACACACGGACACGCGCTGGCTCACACTGTGTACAGGCTCCGTCTTTATTTCATGCACATACAGAAACCTTTTCTATGCTGTCTCTACCACTGCGGGGGTCACTGGCACATGCAAACACACACACATTTACACAGTTTGCCCTGTCTTTCACTGGCTGTTACTGTATGCAGGATGAGGTGAAATAAGAAAGAAACAGAAATGAAATTCATAGAAGGACTTGAATTGGTGGAACTGAAGTGGACTTTTTGAGATTTAATTCTATGGGGATCCACACAGCCGGCTGTTCATTTCCTGTGTCCTGCATTATAACCAGGTTAAAGTGAACCAGCAGGAAACTAAGTGTAGGTCACTGTAATTCAACATTTCAACCCTTGGAAAAGGTTTGACGGATTCGAGCAGAGGAGGGGCTGTCAGTGGCGTTTACTCGGGCTCCTCGAGATAGCGGCGTGTGTGTGTCAGTGCCTCCTAAACTTTGCACTTATGCTGAATCTGATTGGTTTAAAGGGGGGGTGTTCAGGTCAACGGCCGAAATCTTCAGCGCTGTCTGCTGAGACCGCCACGTGTTAGGCTGATCAGCTGAGCCGTTGGCGGTGTGAAAAGAAAGGCAGCTGTTGGTGACCTTGTTGCCTCACCGTGACAACCTGAACCCCGCCCACACTAGTCAAAAACAACAAAAAAACAACCATCATTGGTTGATAGTTGCTATTGGAATGAACCATATCAGTGGCAACAGTTTGAATTGAAGCCTCAGTGGAGGTTGCGTATTATTGGTAACATTATGGTAGACCACTATGTATTGCTGTATATGGGGTGTATATTATCAATTGTCCATATGACTATTTTTCTTTGCTGGTTGCTTTAGAGTCGAGCTAGCCGGCTGGGGAACATAGGGTGAGGGCGGGGCTTCAAAACTACTTGGACCTTGTCATTTTTTTAAAGAAAAAAAAGTTAAAAAAATAAACATACTATAAAAACTCAAAAGATGCGTCTGTTTTTCTTTTACACACTGTCACAACTGATAAGCTACAAAGCATTCCATATGAGACAAAAGACAATTAGTGCTTTATTCATGTTGATTAGTTTATTATTAATTACTGTCATTCAATTATTAGCGAGCTGCTCCTCTGTTACTTTATGGTTAAAGCAATCCTGTTGTTGAAGAGAAAGGCCACAAGAGGGCACCATTATAAAGAAATCAGCTGTCTCAAACCATCCTTTAGAAGCCAGTGGAAGGCCACATATTAGATTTGCTTACAACAATTGCAAATACAAATTTGGCTCCACTGTATTTTTTTGGTTTTGTTTATCATTTATAGTGAAATGAATGTTTAGAAACTACAATGGTTGGACCTGCAGCTTCACATTTGTTCTGAACTCATGAATCAGTCTTCCTGTTCTCTACTGCCTTTGTGTGAGTTTTTTCTGTTGTTTTTATCCTAACATGACCTTCCAACTTAAAGTTTGAGCACGCCCAGCGTCCTGGACCTCACGTTTGATTCCTGTAACTGCTCTATTCTCTGTCAAAACCAAAGCTCATTCTGCTGCTAGTAGTGGAGGAAGCATACAGGTTGTTTACTTAAGTAGAATTACTTTTAACACACTGTAAAATACTCCATTACAAGTAAAAGCCCTGCATTCAAGTAAAAGTACTCAATGCAGAAAAATGGCCACTGTGACTGATATACTATTACATATTAGATTATTAGATTATTATTACCAGTGCATTAAGATGTACGCTGCATTTTACTGATGTAGCTGGTTGAGGTAAAACTCTTTATTTTTAACAATTTAATATAAGGCTGCAACAAATGATTATTATCATTATGGATTAATCATGCATTATTTGATCGATTAATCTGTTGATTGGTCTGTAAACCTCAGGAAATGGTGAGAAATTTCCATCACAATTACCCAGAGCTTCACACTTAGTTAATCCCTTTTCAATCAATGTTCCGTTAGTTGACTTACTGATTAAGATACTAACTGTCTCAGCTCTAATTGTTAAGTATACTAAAATGTTGTACATAAAATAGTGAAGTAAGAATAGCTGTCAGATAAATACAGTGGAGTAAAAGTATAACGTGGCATAAAAACAAAATATTCAAGTCAACTACAAGTACAATACTTGAATAAATGTACATTAAAAGGTACATTCCACCACTGTCTGATCTCTTGTTGTGAGTTGCTCTGCATAAGAGCTTTAATCAAGCACCAGAAAGATTTAACTTCTTTGTTTTGAAGCACTTTGTACCCTCCTCTCCACTGTCCCTGATGGTAGGTGGGTTTCCCAGAAACACATGCACATTGAAACTCATTTACACCTTTAAATATGATGCAGTCCATCACAACACTAGCAGGAAGCACAGCCTCAGAGATTAACTGGACAGTCTGATCAACCCTCTAAACACTCTCAGTGAGCTAGTATACAGACGTGTTGTATTGTACTGCCATACATTCTACAGGTGTTTTTTATGTTTCTGGTAACTCAGCGCAGGTATTTATTTAAAAACCTCGCCAAATGAGGCGCCCTGGTAGCTTACCTTGTTGAGCTTGTGCTCCATGTACTCTAGCTGAGTCCTTGCTGCAGTGGCCTGATTTTGATTCCAGCCCTTTTTTCTCTCCCTCCCCACTTTCCTGTCTCTCAGCTGTTGATTTCTAATGAAGAATAAAAGCCCCAAAAATGATCTTAAAAATAAAACATAATCTGTGATACTTGGCTTCCCTTTGTGCCTTCTCTGTTGCTGTTAATGACTCCATTTACACTCAGTAATGGCTGTGACTGAGATGTGTAGTGAAGCGTACAACTGCAGTCAAAACACACTTCAGGAAAATCGCAGTCTCCAAAATATGGCTAAGTGTGAAATAAACTAAAACCTCCTCAAATACGGAATCAAGTGTGACTGATTTTCCTTCCACTGGCAGCTAACGTACTTGTAGACTGTTGTATAACACTCTCTGAGAAGAGAATAATATCTTATGGCTGACACACACAGTTATACACCTATGGCGTCCTCACTCTTTGCTGTTGTGTTGCATTTGGTCGCCTCTTTTTTCACACCTGCACTCGTCAGCTCAACAGAACTGCAGAATATTGTCTGCAGGTTCCTGGTGAGACTTTCACACTTATCCTCTGAGTCAGAAAATGAAACAGACACTCTGACACTTTCTGTTGCACTTGACAAGCTGTATTCACAATCCATCAGTTCACGTTAAAAGAACGGCTTTAGGGTCAGTAGATTATTTTTCTTATTAGGGACTGTATCTCTATATATGAAGAGCAAGACTTTTTTTCTACCTCCAGCTAATATTCTTAAGGCAAACATACCTAAATAGTGAAAATACAGCTACTAACTATTTTTGAATAAGAAGCTGATAGATAAACATTATATCTCTCTCTCAAAACACACATCCAGAGCACACATAAAACTAAATCCCTGATTACTGATATGGGGAACTTTTAAGCAAGAATGAAAATAGACCTTTTCCGTGTGCAATGATTTTTGATCGATAGATTTGATTTTACATTGTCAAACTGTTGTAGTTGAGGCTGCTGCTTCTTCTCTCTTACTCTGCTTGCTATCACAGCAGACTCTGCTGGCTAAACTTTACAGGGACGCCAATACATTACCCCAAGCATTTTTTCTGCATTATATATTTTGGGAAAACAACAGTTTCGGATCGGATAACATTTAAATTGATACCAATATGTAAACATGTATGCAGGCTAATATCAGCTGATGATATCGATATATTGGTCGAGCTCTGCATGAAACCTTTTTTTTGATGTAACTAATTTCTCTTTTTACATCACGCAAATGTAAAATGTGACACAAAATAAAAATACGGCTTAAGAAAACATACACTACCTGCCCCAAACTTGTTGGCAGTCAAGTTGCATTGTGGGAAATGCAGGCACAGCAAGGAAGAAGAATGTGTAGAATAAAAAATATTATATCTCTTGCATTTATTTTGTAACTCCATCATGAGTCTGAGAATGTATAAGAGCGCAATGCTAAATTGTTGGAGTACTGTTTTATAATCTTAAACATTATATTAATACTTACCAAAACAGATATTGGTGATATACTAGACATATAGTGGTGGTATTTTGGTGTTTTGTTTTGTTCTTTATGGGGACAACTGGCCAAAATGTAACCAGATCTTTATTTATTTCCTGCAGGCAGAGGTGGTGTCAGGGGTGGAATCAAACAACAAGGGCGTCTTCCTAGTACCAACATTTTGCTCCATCACAGTCCTGCAGGGAGAAATCCCTCCATGAAAAGAGTCTAATTACTACAGTACAATAACAGACCAGAATTTAATGGTAAAGTATTAGTAATTATAGAGCTCTTGTTTCGAACAGTGAGGGTAAAGTTACCTCTTCATCATTCTCCTCGTTCTTTTCTTTGCAAGACCGGACTGAATCGAGCTCTAATGCCCTGTTTGACTCGCTTGCTCTTTCAAGTCTCACTCAGCCAGCCCCTCATCATCTCTCAAAGACCCTGATGAGCCCTGGGTAGCTCTCACACACACATACACACATACACACACACACACACACACACACACACAAGCATGCACATCACATGCTCCACACAGTCACAGGAGCTGCCCCAAAGCAGCGATCAGCATCTCTCTCTTGCTCTCTCTCTCTCGTGCTCTCTCTCTCTCGTCTCCCATACACAGAGGCAATAAAAGGTCCGAAGGCCATGGCCAGCTAATGACTACAGGAGCTCCAAAGGGCCGCACGCGGGGCACAAGGCTAAAGATCTCCTCTGTATTCCACATCTCGCTGACAGGAGGGGTGCCACCCTGCAGCCAGCAGACACGTATGATTTTAATCATACGTGCTCAGAAAACCTTTCTATCACTTGGAAATGTTAACGTTGCAAGAAGTGGGAAAGGAAAGTGCTCCAAAAGAGACTGCGCAGTCTTTGGCGTTGAGATCGAGTTGTGGGTGTCAGTGGGGGTGCTGGAAAGAGAAAGATTTAGTAAGGCATTTTAGTGGTAGTACTGAAGTTGTGTTTATTTTCTTGCTAGGTTACTGCCCTTAAAGCGTCCAGGTGGTGTAACATTTGTTAGGGAGATCACTTTGGACAGAAATGGAAGTTAAAACTAAAGATTTTTGTAATATGGATGGTTTTTTCATCCTCAGTCAAATGCTCGACATTGTGAATTTCTTATAAAAGAATCATTGGTTTTTCTGTTTACCCCTTAGAAAATGGAGCATTTGTGGAATACA